CAAAGAATCCCCCCCACCCCCCTTTAGTATGGGTTCTTTCCCTTAGTCTTTTACAGTAGTGGTCCTATGCAGTATTTCTCTTTTTGTGACTTAGTGCAAAACTTTTAATAGAGGTCTTGAAGTGGGAAGGGAATGGAGAAGGAGGACAGACAAGCTGTGGCAAACAATTCTGCTCCAGGAGAGGAGCCACGGGATCTCTAAAACCAATGATACAGGACAGTTGGTGGCTACCCTGGAAAGTCCTATAGAGGGTGTAAGGTTATTGTGCAGGGATAGGAGGGGATGTCTAAGTCACTTTGGACAGAGAGATGAAAGACGAGAACTGCTAAGATCAGCAGACTTTTCTTTCCCTCTTATTTTGTCTCTCACAGGGCACATACAAAGTGCTTCAGAAAATTTGTGAGAAAATTCTAAGCCCCTCTTACATTTATCTAATCATTTACTTTCCTATATGATCCTTTCTTGGTTCCCCGTTACTTGGGGAATGTAGTCCTGTTCCGTCTTGTTCCTTAGCCTGCCACGAAAGGCGTGGTCTGGTGTCTCCTTACCTTTTCTGGTCTCTTCCCTTAGCACTCATGTGTTCCAGCCCAGTAGAACTATTTGCCTTTACTCCACACTCACTCCTAGACCTATGCCATTTCTTCTTTCTAGAAGGCCCTCCTACTTGTTGCCCACTTGGTGATCTCCTGTTCATCCTCTAGGAGCTACCTTGAGTACTACCTCTGTTAAGATTTTTTTCATGTTCTCCCACCCCAGACTGTCACCCTAGCTTTAATTATACACCCCTGAATACTTGTATCACATGAATCTTACTCTCACTTGACTGAGTTCCTTAAGAATAGGGAGTTATGTCTTAATTATCACTGAGTTAAATCAGCCTGGAATCTCCAAGTAATGTAGTTACTGTACTTGACCGCTAACCAAAAGGCTGACAGTTCGAGTCCACCTCGATGTGCTTCAGAAGAAGAAAGGTCTTCTGAAAAGCTAACCAGTGAAACCCCTAGGGAGCAATTCTGTGCTGACACAAATGATGTCTAATATATATGACAGAATCCGTTTGGTGGCAGCTGGTTGGTTTATTGAACTCAGCCCCTAGTCATTCTAGATTGGAACAAATGAGTGAGTGAATAGGTGCTTGTTTTAGTGTCCTGGGATGGAATGATGAGGACTTGAGATAGATGGTCAAAAGAAAATTTGTGAAAGCCTCTAGAAGTGAGCTTTTAGTCTCTTCACCACCCTTCCCTATCACTTGCACAGAGCCTGACCCAGATGGAGAGGGAGAAGATAGTCTGGGAGTTTGAGCAGCTATATCACTCTTTGAAGGAGCATGAGTATCGTCTCCTAGCCCGCCTTGAGGAGCTGGACTTGGCCATCTACAACAGCATCAATGGTGCCATCACCCAGTTCTCCTGCAACATCTCCCACCTTAGTGGTCTGATTGCCCAGCTCGAAGAGAAGCAGCAGCAGCCCACCAGAGAGCTTCTGCAGGTAAGAGGCATGGAGAGCTCTGCCAAGATAGCGCCCATCAAAGTTAGTCTTCCTTCTCCCTTTGTCAAGCAGTAGCCAGAACCCCCATCATCTTTTTCATTTTGCTTGAGCAGTATACCACACTTTATACGATTTACATTACTTATGTCAGAGGGAAAACATTACACTAGGAGCTTGAGTTGACACAGCATGGGTCGGTTATTTGCATTGTCTCATTGAAAGGGCAATTAGAAGATCTTATGCCCAGGTCCGCCCTGCACTGTGGTCTGGTCACGGACAAAACTCTTCACCTCTCCGGGCCTCAGTGGCCTCACTTATAAGGGATAATGAAGGGATTTGGATCACTTGAGAATGAAAGATGTTTCTCAATCTAACATTCTGTAATTTTAACATATATGAAGGGGGCTACAGAAAGTTCAGCATAGTGGTTACGCATCGGGCTGCGAACCTTAAGGTCAGCGGTTCGAAACTACCAGTTGCTCCGCGGGACAAAGATGAGGCTTTCGGAAACCCTATACAGGGTCGCTATGGGTCAGAACCGACTCGATGGCACATAACAACAACAACAAAAAGTTCATGGAAAAATTTCGTTCCTTTTAAATTCTGTTTTTCCATAACTTTTTGAAGCCCTCTTGTATATGTAGAAATCTATTGAATAATAAAGCTGACATTTAACTTTATTGTTTATCAGACACTGTGCTAAGTGTTTGATGTGTTACCACAGGCACAAAATAAGCACTTGAGCAGAGGTCAGCCCTAGCAGTCCTGTGTTTTAGCTCTGGTAGAGCAGGTACTATGACTGCAATAGACCGTACTCAGCAAAACCACAGGAAATGGCTGGTGCCTGTCCATCTAGTGTCTGATTTGAGTGGGGACAAGTGATTGAACTTTTCTAAAGCTTATGGTCTAATCTGAAGATAAGGCAGTAAAGAAGTGACGAAATAATTGTTACAAGTGTTGGTAGATGCTTTTAAAAATGAATAATAGTATAGAGCAGGAGTTAGCTAACTGTAGCCTAACACCTGTTCTTGTATGTCCTATGAGCTGCCCTTTTTAACTGACTGGCACATTTTTTAGTTACTTATTGTTTGCCATTGTTTTCCTGCTACAGCAGCAGAGAACAGTCATCGTAGCAGAAGATCTATGCCTCTGAGAGCTTGAAATACTTAACTGTCTGGCGTTTTAAGAAAAACTTTACTGACCTCTGCTCTAGAGTAATAAGAGAAGAGGGCCTAGTCCTAAGCTTTAAGAAACACTGGTAATTCATTTCCAGGGAGCAAAGGAAGAGCTTGCAAAGGAAATAAGTGATCAGAGAGGCAGAATATGAGCGAGCAAGAAAAGAGAATGTTCATGAAGGAAGGAGAGTGAACAACAGTAATGTAATTTGGTGGCTTTTATTTTCTTTGGAATTTGAAAAGCAAGATCATCCGTGATTACGCAAATGGGAGCTTTAAAGAGTTTGGTAAAGCTCTAAAATTGTGTTGGTGTGTGGGAGAACCAGTTGATCTGTGAGTTTGTGAAAGATTGCTGGGTCAGTGATCATCAGTTTATAGTGGGAGCAATCAGCCCACTTGTATCACTTTCTCAGCTGCTTTGCTTTCTCAGACCTTGACTTCTCTGGTGCTGGCACAGAGATAACAGATAGTTAGGTTCATCCAGTTCTGAGGCTTTGCAAGATGAACTTGAGATTTTAAGACCTTTTCTTTTAAGGCAGTAATATTTTTTAGAATATTTTTTAAAAGGTGGACCATGAAATTGAAGCTGGATGATAAAGGAAATGGAAAAAGAAAGAGAGGCCAGAAGTCTCCATGGGGCCTTAGAGATATTAAAGAGAGGTTATGGTGGAAGTCTTGGAAAAGCAAGCAGAGTCTGACATACTAGTTAAAATTAGAGGCATTCCCACTGAGGTCAGGAACAAAGCAAGATGCTCACTCTATCTGTCTCTATTTAGCATTGAATGGGAGGCTTAACCAATGCAGGTGGACAAAAGAAAGCAATTAGAGGTTCAAGAATTGGAAAATAAGTTAAAACTTTAAATTTTAAATGCTGTGATTGTTGTTAAGTGCTTTTGAGTTGATTCCAACTCACAGTGACCCTGTATATCATTTTCGAGAAGTGGTTGGTGGAGTTGAACTGCCAACCAAAAAGTTCAAAGTGACATATCAGCCTAGTGTTTATCCTACAGCACCACACCATGCTGTGATTGTATACCTGTAATAGAGAGTCAGCACTGAAACTAAAGAATTCAGTCAGGTGGCAGGATATAAAATTCACATACAGAAATCAGCAGCCTTCATGTGCACAGATAACAACCATTTAGAGATATATTAGAAGAAAAAAACCATTTTCAATTGTAAAGAAAAACATAACTTGGAGTAAAAGTATAAGAAATTTCTAACTTGTTAGTGGTTTCTAGTCAGTTCCAACTCATGAAGCGGCCCTGTTTCGGATTTCCTAAGAGTTGCTGGTGGATTTAAACAACTGGCCTTGTGCTTTCAACTGACCTTGAGGGTCCAGTGCATTATCCTGCAGCGCCATACCAGGTCACTATAAAACAGTCTTGAAAGATAAAAAATAGGTTTGAATAAATGAAAAGACATCCCTTATTCTTAGATATGCCATCTCATCATAAAGCTGACAGTTCTCTGTAAGTTAATTTATAAAATTCATGCAAATCCTCACTAAGAATGTATATTTATTAGCAAGTTTTTTTTCTGGAGCAAACCAATTAATAGTATAGTTCAGATAGAAAAATAAACTGATAAAAAAAGTTAAGAAACATGGAGAAAGGAGAGCTATGATGGGGAACTAACCCTTCTAGATATTAGATAACAACTCTGGTAGCGTAGTGGTTACGAATCAGGCTGCAAACCCCAAAGTCAGCAGTTCGAAACTACCAGCTGTTTCGCAAGAGAAAGAGGAAGCTTTCTGCTCCCGTAAAGATTTACAGCCTTGGAAACCCTGTACAGGGTTCCAACTCCATGGCACATAACCACCACCATATAACTAAAACAGTGAGTTGTTGTTGTTGTTGTTATGTGCTGTGGAGTTAGTTCCAACTCATAGCGACCCTGTACTGGGTTTCTGAGGCTGTAAATCTTTACGGGAGCAGAAAGCCTCATCTTTTTCCCGCGGAACAGCTGGTAGTTTTGAACTGCTGACCTTGTGGTTCGCAGCCCAATTTGTAACCAGTAGTGACATGGAAATACATACACACAGTATACCAGTCAAAAGAACTGTGCCATACTGAAAGAAAATGTTTGTAACAAATATGACAAAAAGGAGTAATAGCTCTACTACATAGGTTGTTGTGAATAGTAATCAAGTTGATAGCACCCAACTGCTGTCACTACCAACTGAGTTGATGTCAACTCCTGGTGACCATGTATGTGTCAGAGGAGAATTTCGCTCCGTAAGTGGCTGATATTTCAGAAATAGATCAATCGCCAGGCCTTTCTTCTAAGGTACCTCTGAGTAGGCTCTAGCTAACTACCTTTTAGTTAGCATCCTTGCATGTTAACCAGAAAGCGACTCCATAAGAATAAACAACTTTTAAAATTTGAAAGACCACAATTATATTAAAAGGGCAAAATATAAAGGCAAGTTATAGAAAAAATATAATAATGGTTCTGAACATATGAAAAAATGTTCAGTTGCATTCATAGTAATAAATGCAAATTTAAAACATACTTAAATACCAATTACAATGGCAAAAGAATTTAAACTTAATAATAGGTAGGGGTTTTTTGTTTATCTTTGTTGGCAAAGATGTGGGAGAAGAGACACACATCTGCTGGCGGGGATGCAAAATAGTAAAGGCCTTTTTGGAAATAAATTGCTAAATTTTTCTTTTAAGGTATCTGGTTGGATTCAAACCACCAAACTTTCAGTTAGTAACCAAGCACTTAACTGTTTGCAGCACTTGGTCATGTATGAACATAAGTGTTAGTATATTTATACTTTTGTGTGCATGACTATATTTCTATAGATGAGTCCTGATATGGCACTGTGGGATAAAGTATTGGATTTCAAGGTTGGTTTGAACCACAAGGTCGACAGTTCAGACTTACCAGTTGCTTCTTGGAAACCCCATATAGCCTGCTCTGAGTTGAAACCAACTTGACAGCACTTAACAGTAGCATTGTTTATATGGGAGTCCTGGTATCCCACTGTAGGATAAGCACTGGACCACAAAGTTGGTTTGAACTGCAAGGTTGGTGGTTCAAACCCATCAGCTGCCCCTTGGAAACTCTATACAGGGTCACTGAGTCGTAACTGTCTCTATGGCACTTATCAACAGCAACAAAGTATATTTATGGAGCCCTGGTAATACAGTGGTTAAGCACATGGCTGCTAACTGAAATGTTAGCAATTTAAACCCACCAGTGGGAGAAAGATACAGCAATTTGCCATGAAGACACAGCCTTGAAAATTCTATAGGGCAGCTTTACTCTGTCCCAGCAGACTTGGTGTGGTGCTGTAGGATAAGCACTCAACCACAGGTTGGTTTGAACCACAAGGTTGGTGTTCAAACTCACTAGCTACTCCTCAGAAACCCTATATAGGGTCACGATGGGTTGGACCCAACTTGACGTCACTTAACAACAATAGGTTAACTATGAGTTGGGATCTACTCAACAGCACACACCAGTAATGTTTATATATTTTTGTTGTGGTTAAGTGCCGTCGAGTTAGCTCTGATTCATTGCAGCCCTTTATAGGGTTTCCGAGGAGCATCAGATGGGTTTGAACCACTGATCTTGTGGTAAACAGCCCAGTGCTTCTTCTACAGCGCCACACAAAGAGTCTCTTGTGGCACTGTAGGACAAGCAGTGGGTCAAAGTATTGGTTTGAACTACAAGCTCAATGGTTCAAATTTACCAGCCGCTCTTCCAAAACCCTATACAGGGTCACTATGAGTCGGAAATGACTTGACGGCACCTAACAACATATATGGAGTCCTGGTGTGGCACTGTGGGTTCATGCACCCGACTGCAAAA